GTTTCAAATCATTTAAGATTCTCTGATTCTTGATGATTTTAGTTAATGCCTGGTGTGCTGGTGAATCTGCTTTCAGCCATTTCTTCTTCCTTGCCACACTTCTTGGGATATTATCATGCTCACATTTCTTGTACTTCTTACAACCAATCCACTTGTGTTTGTTGATTATATGATTGACGACTGAAGTAAACTTTTCTGTCAAGATAATTTCATCTTCATCACAAGTATCCACTGCCCACCAAAAATGATTGGTGATAGATGGTGTCCAATCAGCAAGTTCATCACAGTTTTTCTTTTTAGCTGCTTTATTTATTTTCTTGTTGATGCCTTTTATTAAATGCCATGGATCAATTTGATGCACTTTATCTTTATGGTGTTCTCGCATGTACTTTTTAATCTGCACATGCCGATCAGTGGAAACTCCATACACTTCACAGCCAAACTCCTTCTCAATCCTTGTAAGAGTTCGGATGAAGCCTTCCTTTTCCATCGCATTGGAGTTTTTCACATCCATYACTTTCACGACTTCAAAGTCTACAACCTTATCACTCTCAGTATCAAGCATTGTGTATGTTCCATACTTTGCACTGTGACCTGGAGAGTCACAGCGCCCATCCCCAGCTAGCATCACACTCTCATCTCTTTCATTGATAGATTGAATTAGTGCCTCTTGCTCCATCTTCCATTCATCATCAATTGATGGAAATAAATAATTTCTCAATGCATAAAATGTATCATGGCTTATAGATTTTAATTTTAGAATGTCTGCCAATTGCTGCCACTTATYAAACATGATACCACTTAATGTTATGGCTGATGTAAGCAGTATATTTCCCATTCCTCTTGCATTTTTAAGCTTTTTTTGTGACATCCAACTGAAGTCACACCCATTCATGCAGGTAACTTTGACTGTAAGAAGTGTTCCTTCATTTTGTTTAAATTCAATATTTTCTTTTTCAATAACCCCACCACATTTGGAGCAAAAGTTGAATAATGGCTTGAGGCATTCTAGGTGCACAATTACATGTTGATCTTTGTCRAATAGACTTTTGTTTTCTGAACATTGGGAGCTTTCTGTCTGGGTTGTGTCCTGGGTAGATGGTTCATAGTCTGAATCATTTTCTCTACTAGTAAACAGTTCAGGAGATTCAACAGGGTAATCAATAATATCACTCTCAATTACAGATTCATGTTGTTGTCCTTCGTSACAAGTTTCTTGGTCACAAGTGTCTATATAATCTGTCTGTGTTGCAACACTACATAACTCTACAGKTTGTGTGGCTGAGTTGACAGTTTCGGGTTGATTATCAACTTGGACTGAAGTATCACATTTATGTTGTTCTTCAGGCACAGATTTGCTCTCCTACATTATAAAAAAGAACAACTAAGTTCCAATAAAGGTTTAAAACATATCATTTATAACGAATTGGATCTTACCTCGACTTCCATGGGCAAATCACTTTACAAGGTACTACCTTCGACCAAACTTTCTTCTATTTCAGCAATGACCTGGAACCAAAATAAAAATTCTTTAGCCTATGACAAAATCCTTAAAATGCATCAAATATCAGAGAATACATTGAATAAGCTAAAAAAATCGACAACTTAATTTTAAAGTACACCACACAGTGTTTAAAATTAAAAACGCTTTATTCACTCCAATGGTTTTGATACAACTCCAAAATGGTTTTGATACAACTGAATATATTATTATCTTATGTACTAAATCTAATATATTTGGACACATAACACACTTAGAATACTAACTTTGTCGTCAGCGGTTTGTATAGACACTATAATGTGTTTAGATGCCTTAATATATAAGATAAATACTTAATATGTACTCTACACTTACATTCTTATGGTGTTGCCTTGAGAGACGATCTAAGGTAGTTTGGCGTCTTTTCTTCACTGGTCGATGAGGGAATATTGTAGGAACTGCATCTCRATAAAGACGTCTCTTTTCTCTCTGAGTTCCAAGTAACTTGTTTTGTAACTCAATACTACTATCGAAGCAAGAATCTTCGAAGTGAAGACTACACAAATATATACTTTTCGGCAGGTTATCTTTTTTCCGATCGATGGCATCCAGCCATTGATGTCTCAGAGTAGGGCGGTCAATTCCCGGTAAAATGTGAAAAGAAATCTTCGGATCCTTATTTTTTTGCATAGCTGGAACAGCCAACGGATACACAATGAGGCATTCCTACTTTGTACTTAACGTTTTTGACTAAAAATACTAAAAATATTCAATGAAAGAGGTTGTTGTGTTACAAATCGAAGTTATGATCGACAAACCTGCAACCACTACTTGACGTCACGCTCTACGTCACGTTAACACAGGAACCCCGTCAACGTATTTTAATGGAGTAAAATCGGCTCAAAATAAGGTGAAAAAATCATTTTCTGAAATTTTTAACGCCAGATTCGGAATCAGCGGCAATTTTTACATTATATAACTTAAGCTTAAGAAGAACCTGAGGATCCCTTTAAA